GTTGTTGTTGTTAAGTGCCGTCGAGTTGGTTCCGACCCATAGCGACCCTGTACAGGGTTTCCGAGGCTGTAAATCTTTACGGGAGCAGAAAGCCTTATCTTTCATATGGATCTTATCCTATCGTAGATAGCATTGTACCTCATGCAACGTGGCTGCCTTTGAAACATAAAATCAGAATGTAAGCATTTCGCAGAGCTCTGGGACCCAGGGAGAAGTTACCACCCATGTCGCAATGTGGCAGTAACAGTAACAAAAATGAGAGTGATTATTGAAAACAAGTGCGTCCAAGTCAGTTCCAACTTTTGGCATCCCGAACGATGTTGGAGGAGGACAGTGCTCCATACGGTTTCCCAGACTGTGTGACCCTTTAGATCAGGGGTGCAGAACGTCCGGCCCACAGGCTGTGGAAGGTCCACACAATCATTTGGTCTGGCCCTGCCAAGGTAACCACAATTCCAGGCATCACAATACAGCAGGCTAATTTTGAAGCTGATAATTTTGTTTGGCCCGTGAATGATGTTGTAAGTATCCAAACGGCCCTTGGCAGAAAAGAGGTTCTCCACCCCTGCTTTCTACCACTCACCTGTCAGTTTGTCGTACTGTGGTGGCTTGTGAGTTGCTGTGATTCTGGAAGCTATGCCACCGGTGTTTTAAATATCAGCAGGGTCACCCATGGTGGACAGGGTTCAGATGGGCTTCCAGAGGAAAACAGACTAGGAAGAAGGACGAACTACTTCTGAATATTTAATCACTGAAAACCTTATGAATAGCAGAGAAACACTGTCAGATATAGTGCTGGAAAATGAGCCCCTCAGGTTGGAAGGCACTTAAAATGCGACTGGGGAAGAGCTGCCTCCTCAAAGTAAAGTTGACCGTGATGATGCGAATGGAGTAAAGCCTGTGGGAGAAAAGCCCACAGGACCTTCATTTGCTGATGGGGCACAACTCAAAATGAAGAGAAACAGCTCTAAACATCCATTAATAATCGGAACGTAGGATGTACGAAGTATGAATCCAGGAAAATTAGAAATTGTCAAAAGTGAAATGGAACGCATAAACATATCTTAGGCATTAGTGAGCTGAAGCCGTCTGGTATTGGACATTTTGAAACTGACAACCACATGGTTTACTATGCCGGGAATGACAAATTGCAGAGGAATGGTGTTGCATTCATTGTCAAAAAGAACATATCCAGATCAGTCATGACGTACAA